TTCAACGGATATAAAAGGAAGCAGATCGAGGACAACATCGACAAGTTGGAAGGATACGCGGCTTCGGCCGAGAGGCGAGGATAGGATAGAGAGCGAGTGGCTGGTTTGAATTCCGGCTTATAATCTCTGAATTCTGGTTGAAACTCCTTGAATGATAGCTTGATCTAGTTCGAGTACTCACACAAGTATTCACAGTTTTTACATACCTGATCATGAAAATATTACGAGAATGTTACCTGTCGACAGTCAGTCAAAAGGGATTTCGCAGTAACCCCCGCCTCCCCATCTCCCTTCGATATCGTTTGCACAAATCCTGACACAGAATCCTAGCCACGTCGAATTCACAAACTTGTTCTCTATAAGAGAAACGCCAACGAACCATATAGTCAAAGTAGTGGAGCTAGCCCACTACTCAGCGGCACACCCCTTTGCCCAGGGTCACCTGGGCTCAAATCTCAATCCCCCCTTTCACCCTTTTTTTTCACCAGATGGCATTTTCTCCAGGAAAAATGCTATGTTACATGGCGTTCTTATTTATTTAATAGATGACATTTTTATATTAAGAGTGGCATTTTTGTCTTAAGAGATGGCATTTCTAATTTTTAAGAGATGACACTATTATTATTAAGAGATGGCATTTTGATTTTTTAAGAGATGGTAATTTTAATATTAAGAGGTGACATTTATTATTATTAAAATATGGATTTTTTAAGAGATGGCAATTTTAATATTAAGATTGGGGGAGCCCGCACCCTTCACACGGGTTGAACGAGATAAGACGAAGTGTGGCCTTCAAATTGAGCCTTGTAGGCCGAGGAAGCAGAGTACATCCCAACCTTAGTGAAATTCCAAATAATCGAGTCTTTTACCATCCGTTGGAAAAGTGTTTTGGGATTCTTAAGATGCAAAAGTTAGGTATTTTTACATCTATATCTTCTATTGAAGATACTCTAAGCAGTAAATATGCACGAATTATTTGAAACCCTTTTCCGCATAGAGAAGCTAGATTCAAGATGATCTTCCACCGAACTTGAGCATCTCCGGGATAGACACCAGATAAACACTGATCTTCGTTTCGGAAACGCGGAAAATATTGACATGGAGACGCAGATCCCAAATCATGCACATGGCGATCCATTATTTCTTGTTAGCAGTGAAGAGGTCTGCCCACGAAGTCCTGGCTCGGGTCGATCGAGCCTGTTGACCTCGGACGCGTGTAGATTCGCAACCTAGTCGAATGGACCACGCCCGTCGATTCGCACCAGTCCACTAGCAATCGGGCTTGATTGGGGCTTTACTCGATTTTCCTAAAAGTGATGAGCACACACATTAGTAGCATGGAGGCACTAGGACAGGTATCAATCACAATCTGCATGCACAATCTGCCCTTGCTCCCGGGCAAAGCCCAAATCATCGTGCTGAAACTGAGAGATCTCCCCCACGTTCTCCTCCGCCTCCCTACCCGTTCCCGCGCGTGGCGGTGGCACCAGGAGGCTCGCTGCCGCACGCCAGGAATATACAGCAGCTGCAACAGGGCATTGTCAACCGATGTTTCCGAGCCAAATTTTCTCCGCACCGCGACGCACCGCACCCGGGTTTCCCGAAGAAGGCTGGGCGCCGGCCGACTTCCCATGCGTTCCACGGAGCGCTCCCGGTCGCTGTCCACCCCTCTTTTCCTCTCCGGGCCCGTCACGTCGGCGCGCGCCGCTGCCGTCCGAGACGACAAAACTGGGAGCAGATAAGCACACCTCTCATGAATCATGATCAGTAATTCCCTCAAACCCCAACAGGAGAGGGGAGAGCTCCTTTCCATCAGCACACTAGACTAGACTAGATTCCCGGCCACGGGCACACATTGCTGATTGGCTCGAGTCTTGACCAGTACGGAGTATTAGGGCATGACCAATGCATAGTCTCAAGGTGATGCCTCACATGTCATGTAGGATTGGATAACAGAAAAAATAGGTTCGAATGGGGAAGCGAGATCCTCTTCAAGAGGCGGGTGCTTAGAAAGAAAAAGTGTGGTCCGATACATAAGGTTGAAAAAGTTGAAGTGGAAAGGAGGGATGCATGTGTAATGAGAGCCACTTTCTATTCTTTGATGAGACCTACTAGTAGTAGCTTGCATTGGGAAGAAAAAATAAACACATATGACTCAAATTATTTTTTATCATGAAACATCTATATCCATACGTCATCATTGTACATGCCCTTAACGTGGAAACATTCCATCGAGACAGGCCGGGATAAGCATGACAGAGGTGCGACGTGGACGAATGGGCGATGCTGGAAGGTTAGCTTAACCAACTAAATGGAATGGATCAGGCCGGACCTTGTGAGTGACGCCTGCACTGCACTAAGGCACTAGCCCGGGCAAAAGGCACCGATAATGCAGCCGCCAGCAGCAAAGCACCCGTATTCGCGCCCAAACAGTGATGTGATGAGACGCTGGAAAGACGGTCGCTAACAAACTGGCCGGGTTGGTGCGGCGAGCCATCCGTCCGGCTACATCAACCAGCTTTGCCATGTGAGCTCCTGCGAGCGAGCGGCAAATTTGATAAATTTAACCCATAAACGAAATCAAATCACAGAATAAACTGCTCGTGAAATTATTTTATGCGGCTGATCTTTTTGTGTGACGTCCGACACGAAGGCGTCACACTACATTATGCAACGTCTCACAGATAGGCGCTACACGCCTGGCTAACGTTGCACCCCAAACTGCCTAAAAATTGCTAAGTCGTTGTGCAGAGCCTACGAGCTAGACGCTGTACTGTATAATGTGGCGCCTAGCTCTCAGGCGTTGCACTAGTGGTTGCACTATAAAATGAAGCAACCACTAGTGCAACGCCTAGAAGCTAGGCGCTACACTGTATAGTGTGGCGCCTAGCTCTCAGGCACTGCACGCTGACTTAGTAATTTTCGGATCACATGGGTGCGACGATGGCCAGGCGTGTAACGCCTATCTGCGAGGCGTTGCACAGTGTAGTATGACGCCTTCGTGTCGGGCGTCACATAAAAAATCAGCTGCGTGAAATAGTTTCACGAGACAGTTCATTCTATGATTTGATTTCGTTCATAGGTTAAATTTATCAATTTTGCCCGAACAAGCCAGCGTCCCGCACCCAACCTCGTACCCGGGCTGGGTTGAGGACGAGCCGCTGAGCGGCTCGTCGAACCGGCCCGGGCGTATAGCATCCACAGACAGGTGCTCGCGACCGACGCAAACGCAACGCTCTTCCGTGTGCCCCGTCATCGCAGAGGACGAAAGGGAAGGTTCTCTGGCCTAGCGCACTAGCCCAGGCAATTCCGTCCGTCAATTGGGTCCGCATCATTGAACCAACGCCGAGCTTTGACGGATCACCCGCGATTAATGAGCGCTCGTCCTACATCTACAGCTCAATTTCGAGCAAGTAGTAGGAGTACAATTCTTCTATTTTCAGGACAGTTTTGTTCGATTATTGCGGACCGAATTGAGGAATGCATGCGGCGGCAAATCACACTCTAAAAATGCGCTGACATCTCATGACATCGTGCATCACTCAACAAACAGATATCTCTGCTACTTAAAAAGAACGTAAGGTTCTCATTTCACCTCTCTTTCGTCTAACCTTCCATATATACGTCCCACTCTTTTCTTATCCTCTTTGATTTTTCCTACCATATTTGATTTTTCTCCCATCTATTCATTTGTCTCTTGTTTATTACCTTACCAAAATAAACACATATTTTGCTGGCAAGTCATCAAATTCTTATCAAATAAGTGCTTAATAATAAAATGACAGATAAATCACGGTGATTGCATACAAAGATTTGGTAAGATTTTAGCGTATCAATATAATAATATACGTGGATTCTAAAAAACAATAATACAATAATAGACATGCAGTCAGGGGCTAATCTACTAGAATGTTTATACTCCCGTTACAAGGCACGTGCAATTGTTAGTTATGTTAGAATTGTTTAACACCTGCAAAAATATTACTACGTCTAAATCATAATAAAAAAATTGTTTATTAATTGTTCATGCACAATAATTTTTTTGAGAATTATAATGAAAAAGATAGTACCCGTTAATAACAAGTGCTTGATAGTTGGACACAAATAGTGCTATACTACATAGTCCCTCAACCTAGCCAACATTGGTTCGTGAAAATTTGTGTTACCTATGATTTAAATTCCACACACCTTTAGTACACTTCTAAAATACGTTTATATTTTTTTTGCAGTACATATTTTCATGGCAACATGAAGGATTTTAAAGAGTTTGTTCATGTCATCATGGCTGGCGGTGTGTCGTGGAATGAGAGGGGGTCTTGAGCAATTGGGTTAGGAAAGTATGATTTTTTTCACCCGATGCAACGCACGGGCCCTTTTGCTAATATGAATATGAAATGCACTCCACGAAAGTGAAGAGTGAGTTAAATGTGTTCATGCCTGAGAGCTGCATAGCGGAGTGGAGTGGAGCGGGGCAGATTTTTTTTTGGGCAGATTAATTAATCAATTGGAACTCCCGATGGAGGGCATCTCGAGATCTCCAAACACTGCGTGCTTGCTAGCTGGACAACAAGGCTGGTACTAGTACTACTAGTATCCTGGCAAAAAGTAATTCCGCCAGTGATAGATTAATCTCGAGTCAAACCCAAGTAATCTTGTTTAACCTGCCACCACCCAGACCCGGGCACCCACCCTGATTGATTGGTTACCAACACGGAGCAAGAAATCGGAATTGCGAACTGAAATGAGGAAACAAAAGTAGAAATGTGCAATTCAGAAGAAGTGATAGTGGTCTCTGACAAGCTGTAACAACATTCGACGATGGTGATTTCGAGCCGAACATGCTGTTATCTCCTTTTTTCCGGGTTTTACAGAAAATGTGCAGAGGCCAGAGGGATCTATCTATGTCTGGATCCTATCTCAGCTGCAGTAGCTCCTTTTCCCGGCGAGGTGGCCGGCGGCGAGCTGAGAGGCGGTCAGATGGGGAGACCGGCGGCGCGGTCTCAGAAGATGTCGAGGACGTCGAGGATGGCGGCGTTGCAGAGCGGGCAGCGGCCGCGGCCGGCGAGGAGCTCGCGGGCGCAGGCGCGGCAGAAGGTGTGGCCGCACGGGATGAAGGCCGCGCCCTTGGCCCGCGCCATGCACACGCAGCAGCAGCCGGCGCCTCGCCCCGGTTCCGGCAGCTCCGCGTCGTCCTCCGGCACCAGCGCGTCCTGCGACGACGGCTCCGACGCGGCGACCGCCGGGTCCTGCTCCTGCTCCTGCTGTGCCGTCGCGCCGGCGCTCCACTGCCTCTCCGTCTGCTCCAGCAGCGCCATGAGGGACACCCGCTCCCCCTGCTCCTCCTCTTCCTCCGCCGCCTGATCCGTCGGCGGCTGAGGCGGCGACGCCTCCGGAGGTGTCACCGGCGCGGCCACGGGTCTAGTCAACGCGGGGCCCGGGGCCGGCAGGGACACCGCGCGGCGGACGAACGGGTCGCCGACGCCCGTTGCGGAGACCACGGCGTGCGAGGCGGGGGGAGCCGGCTGGTCGTCGCGGATGATGTCGAGCAGCGTCCGCGCGGCGGCGGCAGCGACGGCGGCGCTGGAGGAGGGCGGCGAGGAGGAGGCCCGGCGGTCGGCCTGCATGGCGGAGGCGAGGGTGACCGCGGCGGCGCGGCGGCCGTCGTCCTCGTCGCGCAGCTTGAGGAGGTCGCGGAGGTTGCAGGAGCCCGGCTGCCCCGGCGGCGCGGCGGCGGGCGGGCCCACGGCGGCCAGCTGGTCCGCCAGCGTCACGCTGCGCCGCAGCACCCTCCCCTCCATCTCGGCCGGTGTCTGGTCTGGGCAAAGGCAGTCGCCCGAGGTGGAAGAAGAGGACAAGGCGGGGAAAGGAAAGGGAAGGGAAGGGAAGCGCCTATTATTCTTCGGTCTAGCCAGCAGCGGCAGGGCGTCGGGGGTTAATGAAGGAAGGGCGTGGCGCGCGTGAGAGCGTGTATCGTATCGGCGAAGGGAGCGGGGTCTGTGGATCTTGACGATTTCGGGGCGGAATCGCGGGGGGTTTCGGCTCG